TCATCCTATCCCTTCCGGCTCGGTTTTGCCTTCCAGCGGAGCCTGTCGGCTTCCAGCGCCGAGCAGCACGTGAAGCTGGAGGACGTTCTCCCCCTGGCCTTCACCCGCCTCTGCGAGCCCAAGGAGGCCTCCTACAGCCTGATCAAAAAATACGTCTCCCAATATTACCCCAAGCTGAAGGTGGACATCCGGTAAGGCGCTCAGAAGCAGGCCAAGGGGGCAGGACGGACCCCTCTTGAGCCCCAGGGGCACCTGCCCTGCCCTTTTTGCAGGACCAACCGGCCAGGTGGCCCCTCTCTGTGGCTTCCCCACTAGGCCCCAGCTGCTGAAGAACGCCCTGCAGCGGGCGGTGGAGAAGGGACAGCTGGAGCAGATCACAGGGAAGGGGGCTTCGGGTACCTTCCAGGTGGGTAAGAGGGGGGCTTCCCTGGGAATTGGGCCTAGCATGGGTGTGAGGGAAGGAGACTGGGGGAGGAAGACTCTCTTGCCCTCTCTCCGGAGTCGCTCATTCCTCCTCATTCTCGCGTGCGCCAGCTGAAGAAGTCGGGGGAGAAGCCACTGCTGGGCGGAAGCCTGATGGAGGATGCCATCCTCTCCGCCATCGCAGCCATGAACGAGCCCAAGACCTGCTCCACCACCGCTCTCAAGAAATACGTCCTGGAGAAGCACCCTGGCACAAACTCCAGCCTCCAGGGTAGGGGCCAGCGCAGCGCCACCGGGGGGGGGGGGAAGGCGCTCGGCCGCTGCTCCTCAGGCACAGCTCCTGCCTCGCCCCGGTGTCCCTCCCTGGGGGGAACCTCGTAGGCCAGCCTCCTGCTCAGGCCTGGCCGAAGCGGCGGTCGGTCCTCGGGCCTCTTGAATCCCTCCGGAGGGCGGGGGTCCTTGGGTCTCTTCCTCTGACGACCCAGGCTCCCCAACATACCGCTTTCTCTGCCCTCCTCCCCCTGCAGTCCACCTCCTGAAGAGGACTCTGCAGAAGTGCGAGAAATACGGCTGGATGGAGCAGATCTCCGGCAAGGGCTTCAGCGGCACCTTCCAGCTGTGTTTCCCCTACTATCCAAGGTGAGTCTGGGGCAGCCGGGGCCCCGGCACTGCCTGACTGCTGTGTGTGTGTGTGCTGCTGGCCGCCCCTCCGGCCTGCTTTTCCCTTGGGGTGACCTCCTCTCTTCTCCCCCTAGCCCCGGCATTCTGTTCCCCGAGAAACAGAAGGAGGACAAGGAGGAAGAGGAGGACGAGGAGGATGAAGACTCAGAGGAGGAGGAGGATGAGACAGAGGAGGAGGAAGAGGAGGAGGAGCCGCCTCCAAAGAAGAGGTAGGTGCCCCACCGATGGTTGGGTGGCCGGCCGTGGGCAGCCTGGGAGGAGGGCGGTTCACCGGCAGAGGGGGATGCTCTGGGGGCTCGCCGGCTGCTCGCATCGTGGCCTCTGGCGGGCTGAGACCTTGCGTTTCCCCTGGGCAGGATGCCAAAGCGACCCCCGCCCAAAGCCCGGAACAGGGCCCCACCCCTAGTGAAGCGACGGGAGGCCAAGCCCGCCGCCCGGAAGGCCCCCCTGGCGCACCGTGGAAAAGCGAAGCCCCCGCCGCCGCCGCCCCCTCCGCCCCCGCCCCCTAAGGCCAAGAAAGGCAAGGGCGTGCCTGCCCCCCGGCCGGCGGTCAAGAGCCTCTCCAGCACCACCACCAGCCCGCCAGCTGCCAAGAAGAAGCCGGCGGCGTTGGCCACGGCCGCTGCGTCAGCGAGCGTCAAGCGGGACCGGAAGCCCCCCGGCAAGAGAAGCAAGACCACCATGCGGAAGTCGCTGAGAGCAAAGAAGTAGCCGGCGGGTGGCTGGGCAGGCAAGCCGCTCCCCCCTCCCCTCTTTTATAAGTAGAGCCCACCCCACCCCCAGCCCCG